GGGGGGGTGCAGGTAAAACAAACCACGGGCAGGATCGGGGGGGCTGCCTGTCTTACACTGCTGGTGCCTCTGCAGCCGGATCGCGGGGTTTAGCTAACAAAGAGCAGCTCTCCTGGCACGGGGATGATGCTGAAGTCGCTCATACCCATTCGAGAGGGGAAAGGGGAGGAGAGGAGGGAGCAGAGCTCGTGGGGAAAGTGCTGGGAGGCCGAGGGGCTGGTGTTGGCTTGGGGATGCTGCCTTGGGGCATAAGGTTTTACTCTCCATTGCCAGGTTCACAGCAGCTCCTGATGTGTTAAGGGCTCAGGGTGTCACAGGGGCAGCATTGGGGCACACACAGGTTTCCCTGTCTTTGGATTGCAAGAGCTGCACCATTCCCTGGCAGGGGACACGGGGACCCATGGTTTCCTTGAGCAGCCGGCAAGGGAAAAAGGCCTCAGGCAACCCCCTGGCCCTCACCAGGTACCTGCAGGGACCAACAGCCTCTCTGATGCTGGTTCAACCCAGGACCTGACAAACAAGACTCCCCCGAGGCAGATGAGGCAGGAGCAGCCCACAGCCCCAGCTCAGTTCCCGCTGCTCCCCGTGCATCGCTGCCCACCCAAGGCAGCAGGGAGGGCTCCTCCCCCTGCTCTCTTGGGGTGGGTGGGCAGATTTTTGCCCCAAGAGCAGCACTAAAGCTTTTTTCATAATGCCAGGTGACCAAGATGCCCTTTTACAGCAAGAGAGCACTCCCAAATTCCTTGGAATCAGCATCTTAGGGGAAATCAGGGCCATATGTCTCTATGTTTTGCCCGCCCGGGTTTTGCTGGCACAGCCACCAGAGACAAGTTTCACACCCAATCAGTGTCGTGGTGCAAAAATAGCTCTGGCAGTGCCACTCTGCACCATCAGGAGAGAGTCAAGGTCCTTTGAAATGAGGCTTCGTTCCCATAAGGGCAACAAAAAGCTCAGCACACGGCAGCTTGAATTATTAAAGCTCCTTTCTAAATTTTATTTTGTGCCCTCTTTTGAAAGGCAGTCTTAAAACTGGGGCTTAGGAGAAGACATCTTCGGTAAACAACCTATGGGAACATGTCAGCACCTTTAAATCTTTGCCTGGCAGCTCTCATTCCACTCAATCTTCAATTCTGAATAGCTGCTGCATATTTAATGTAGGAAATATTTCACTCTGATGATTGTCTGGGTCTATTACATTTCAGACCATTTCAGGAAAACAGCAAACTTAGGTGGGGGGGAGCAGAAATACCACTCCAGCTTAAATGAAAAATACAATCAGGGCTTGCAGGGAGGGGTGCAGGCTGGTACTGCAGGGCATTGTGTGGGCTCGTGTGGTGCTGCAGCCCACGCTGGTCAGCAGCAATGCTGGCACCTGGAAGGGGAGAAGAGCTGCCCGGGGGGGTTTGTTCCTGCTGCAAACCCCCCACACCCTGCCCTGGACCCCCAGAATCCCAGCAACGCTCCAGCTCAGGGGGAAGGAATGTGGATTTGTGCCACCTTAGAAGAGAGAAGGGGAGGTGAGAAACCAGGGGAGAGAGGCCAGGGCTCTCTGGAGAGCTGAGGGGGTACCCTGCAGCAGTGGGCATGCTCACCCTCAGCACGCGACTTCGGGGGGATGAGGATCTGCCTAAAAACTGCACAGAAACAGAGTCCAGGATGTTTCCAGGCTGGCAAACTGCAGAGCAGGGGCTCACCACATTCGAGTTGACTTCACCAGGTGCTTTGTGAGAGAGACGCCCAGCAACAGCAGATGTGTTCATTGGATCCAGCTCCCTTCAAGTCAGATGCAGGGAGGATCCTGCTATGCTCCCAGCACCCAGACAGAGATGCACAGTGATGCACAGACCTTTCCCCTCCTTCCTCTTGGCAGGCTGGGACAGCTGCTTTGCAAGAGCTTTGATTTCTCTCTGTTTCCAAACCACTGCTGTCTAATATTGATCACAGGCCGCAGACACGCCAGGTCTGAGGTGCATTGTGACGGGAAGCACGTTGCATTTAAATAATTTATGCCTACACCTAAAAATGCCACAACGCATCTGAGAGCACCGTGGTGCTTGTGTCTGCTCTGGTGCGGCCCCAGGTCCCACTCTGCCCCAGGGGATTGTTTTGGCAGGTGCTGGGGCAGGTGGGGCTGGGAGGGATGAGCCCAGCCAAGCTCTCCATCTCCTCTACAGAGCCAGAGGTGTAGCAGCAATGTTTGGTCTCTGCTGCATGGTCCCCCAGACCTCTGCTCTGAGGCACTTCTCCACACTTAGGGTGGGATGGCACTTTCTGCCCAGGCCCCACACTAACTAGAAGGGGGGTTCAGCACCTCTTTCCAAAACCCAGCGGTCACTGCCAGGTCACCCGCCTGCCTGGGAGGTGATGCAGAACCAGGAGGGACGTCACAGCCCTCGGCCACAACCCAAACAGCAGCTACAGCCCCGAAATAGAGCCACCCACACAGAAAACCATCTTATCACTGCAAACAGGGCCCTGCCCCTGTAGTGCTGATACACACGTTTCCATTGCGAACCAGCAGCCCTGGGGCCGCCCAGCAGCTCCAGCCCCCCCGGCCCTTCCGCCGGGCTCCTCGGCAGCCCCTTTAACTAAGCAGAGTTTTCCCCCCGTGATGTCTGGCAGTCAGAGCTGTGTGATGGACGAGGAAGCCCAGCATGCACCTGAGGTGGCAGGAGACCTGGACACACCTTCGATGCCACCCAACCCGAGGAGAGCCCCAGGACCTGCCCGGTGAGGTCGGACTCCCCTTCACTCCCTGCGCCGTGCCCAGCCTGGCGTCTGCCATCCCACCCACGCTGCTTGCTCACACTTTCCATCCTTCTTGATTGCTTCAGCCTCTGGTTCCCTCCTCGCCTGGCCTGTGTCTCACCCAGGTCACCCTCTGCTGTGGCAAATCCGTGCAAAACCTCCCGAGCTGCCTGAGGTCCCTGGCAGCTGCTCCCCAGGGCCCCTCACTGCCCCAGGCAGACACGGCCAAGCGCTTTGCTGTGACTCTTTCTACTGCTTTTGTCCCCATGAATATTTGAAATCGAACAAGAATACAAACATTTGGATTCCAGACACTTCCCAACCCCGACCTTATTTATCATACTTGGCTCTGCTCCTGGAACTGAGGCCAAAAGAGGCTCCAAACAACTTAGGTTATTTAACATGCTGTGCATAGATCAATTGTGCTCTCCCCTCCGGCCACAGGTTTCCCTTTGTGGTTTGCTGCACACTTATTATGTCCATCAATATCCAAGTAATTAAAATCCCCCATTATCCAGGTCCTGGCTGCCTTGTGAGTTCCTCATAAGCTATAAAACATTTCATCATCAGCTTTCTTTAAGTGCCCGGGAGGTCTGCAGCCTCATCTCGGGATCCCCTGGCTACTGTTAAAACCCTAAAAGTCCCACTGAGACCAACCCACGGCGTGGCTGCTGTTCCACCCCACATGTCCTCTTCTGCACCAGGATTGCTCATTATTATTCCTCTGTCTGCTGGAAGCTTATGTCAGAGTGACGTCCCTGATTCCTGCCTCACTTGCCTGGCCAGAGGTGAGTCCTGCTGCCTTCCTGGGAGCACCCGCAGGCTCCTGACAGCTGCATCCCAAATTCTGCCCTGCTGCACACCTGGAAAAGCCATGAGCCCCGAACCTGCCACACCTGCAGCCCCACTGTCCCTGCAGGCAGGTACTTTGAGTTGGGCTTCCTGCACAGCTCAGCCACTGGTCTCAGGGCAATTTATTAATAACAACCAGGTTCGCTTTGCAATTCCCCCTTGGGAGGAACAGGAAGGCACAGAAAATAATTGCCTTTACCTTCTTGCTGGCTCTGCCACTTGCCTGAGACTTGACATGTCACCTGGGGTGTTCCTCTGAGCACTCGCCCTGGCAGAAGCTCGGGAGCTGGGCTGGCTGGGGCTGTGCCCAGGGCATTCCTCACCTCAGAATGCTGTTCCAGCACGGCTGAAGGATGTGACTCGAGCCAAAAAATGCTAATTACAGCACAGAAGGAGGAGGAGAGAGGAGCTGCTGAATTACACCTAATATGGCAGGGAGCTGGGAAGAGATTGAGAAGCCATCGCTGGAGGGATGAGGAACGTGGGGTTGTCCCAGCCCGGGGCCACCAGCACTGCTGTGTTGGGGACACCCTGTGCTGGGGACACCCTGTGCTGGGGACACCTGGCGGAAGCACCCTGAGGCCTCTTGCTAGCATTGCCTTCGTTTTACCATTTGTATCATTCTGTTCACCTGCTGTGTCACCGCTTTGTCTGCTCTCTCCCCAGGTGTCCCTGGACCTGCCACCAGACACCTGACAAGACTCAGTGGACCTTTTGTCAGGAAAAAAGCAGGATTTTTTGGGTTTCCTGTGTGACCTCTGGTAGATCTTGGGCTTTCTCCTGTGGTTTATCCTTAGACCAGGCAGGGAAGTGTCTCTACCCTGTCTGCTGACGGAACCAGGGTCCCTCTCCTGCTCTGCTTCATTCTGTCCATCCAGGTGACAGTCACACTCTCCATCACTGCCTG